GCCCTCTCCCATGTATCTAAGCTGAGAGAGTACCCCTCCATAGGGAATGGGCTCCCAAAGCCCATTTGTGCACTAGGGATAAATACTGATTCCACTGCCAGAGGTCCCATAAACTGCCCAGGCCCCCCAACTGACACCTACATTCAGGGGGCCTGGTTCAGTCCTATGCTTGTTCCCCAGCTGTCATACTGGGGTCCGTAAGCTCCCACTTGCTCAGGTCAGCTGTTTTTGTGGGTTTCCCCAGCTGATCTTGACCCCTTTGCTCATCACTCCTCACTCTCTACAACTGGATTCCAAGAGTTCAGCTCAGTGCTAAGCTGTGGATCTCTGCTTCTGCTTCCTTCAGCTACTGGGTAAAGGCTCATCTTTGTCTTTCTGAGTCTGGGTTACCTCACGCAGGATGGTTTCTTCTAGTTCCATCCATTTGCCTGCAAATTTCAAGATTTCATTGGTTTTTTCCCCCCACTGAGTATTACTCTATTGTGCAAATGTACCACATTTTCTTTATCCATTCTTTGGTTGAGGGGCATCTAGATTGCTTCCAGGTTCTGGCTATTACAAATGGATCAAAGACCTCAACATAAATCCAGCCACACTGAACATCTTAGAAGAGAAAGTGGGAGGTACCCTTGAACGAATTGGTACAGGAGACTGATTCCTGAACATAACACCAGTAGCACAGACACTGAGATCGACAATTAATAAATGGGACCTCCTGAAACTGAGAAGCTTCTGTAAGGCAAAGGACACAGTCATCAAGACAAAATGGCAGCCCACAGACTGGGAAAAGATATTCACCACTCCCACATCTGACAGAGGGCTAATTTCCAAAATATACAAAGAACTCAAGAAGCTTGCCACCAAAACACCAAACAACCCAATTAAAAAGTGGGGTACAGAACTAAATAGAGAACTCTCAGTAGAGGAATCTAAAATGGCTGAAAGACACTTAAGAAATTGCTCAACATCCTTAGCCATCAGGGAAATGCAAGTCAAAACAACTCTGAGATACCATTTTATACCTGTCAGAATGGCTAAAATCAAAAACACCAATGACAATTAATACTAGAGAGGATGTGGAGAAAGGGGATCACTCCTCCACTGCTGGTGGGAGTGCCAACTTGTACAGCCACTTTGGAAATCAGTATGGCAGTTTCTCAGGAAAATAAGAATCAGTCTACCTCAAGATCCAGCAATTCCACTCTTAGGCATACACCCAAAAGATGCACGTTCATACAACAAAGACATCTGTTCAACTATATTCATAGCAGTAATAGCCAGAACCTTGAAGCATGGGCTTATTTTAAACAACACACCATGCAGCAGAGCAGGGAGCTGCAGTCCTTCATGTTCACACCACTAAGGCCATCCTATCTCCAGGGGTCACTTTCACTACTTCTTTAAATGTTAATACTAAACTGATGAAGTCTGCTTTGGATGTGCAGGAAGCCTCCACGGGCTCACGTGCTAAAGACTTGGCTCTGCAGCTGAGATGCTGCTTCATTGGTATGTTAACCACTGATGAGTTCACAGTGCCTACCAGGAGCTGGGACCCAGGTGAAGGGCACAGTCACTGCCAATGTGTCCTGCAAGTGTGTATGTTGTCCAAGATACCCCCACCCACCCCACCGTCTCTCTCTGCTTCCCAGCTGCCGGGGGGGGGGGGGGGGGGGGGGGGGGGGGGGGGGGGGGTGTGTAAGCAGCTCTCTTTCCTAGACTCCTCCACTGTGATGTACTGCTTGACCACAGGCCCAGAAACAACAGAGCCAAGGAAACATGAACTGATACCCAAAACAAGGAAGCAAAATAAATCTTTCCTACTTAAAATGCTTTGTCTCAGGCACTTGGTCACACTGACAAAAAGTGGATCAGTACATACTATATTTTCCAGTAGTCCTCAGCTCATTTCTATGGAAATATGTTGGCCCAGTGCATAGCTTTTGCACTGGCTTGTCATCAAGTGGAGATGATAAGTCTCAGAAGAGACTGCAACCCCACCTACAGGGTCTGTCCATGACTCTACACAGATTTTCTGGGGGTGGGGGAGAATCTTGGTGAAGGTTTGTCTAGACCAGCTTGGCCAGTGTACATGTCTGTGGAGGACTGTCTTGAAGTGGACACCACCATTCCCTGAGCTTGGGTCCTAAATGGTTTAAGAGCTGAGCACTGTGACACCCAGGTGCAGCACCAGGAGCCCAGAATATTCTATTATACAAGGCTTTCTAAATTTAAAAATGACCCAAGTCACAATGCAGATACAGAAGGATTAAGAAAGGCTTTTCTAGCCAGGCCATGGTGTCATGAGAGAGGCAGAGGCAGACAGATCTCTGAGTTTTAGGCCAGCCTGGTCTACAAAGTGAGTTCCAGAACTGCCAGGGCTATTATACAGAGAAACCCTGTCAAGAAAAAAAGAAAGAAAGAAAGAAAGAAAGAAAGAAAGAAAGAAAGAAAGAAAGAAAGAAAGAAAGAAAGAGGGAGGAAGGGAGGGAGGGAGGGCAGGCTTTTCTAACCTTTAGGTTTGAAAACTGAATCATGCCCTCAATCCCAAGTCAAATATATTCCACTTTAAATCTTATTCATAGAAAAGACCAGGAGAATAACCCCAGAGAAGCTTGAACCCTCTTCCAGAAACAGATGGAAGCAGATGCAGAAATCCACAACTAACCATCGGGCCAAGCTCCTGCAGTACAATCGGAACAAGGGAGGAGCAAAAATATGAACAAAGGAGTCAAGACCATGATGGAGAAACCCACAGGATCAGCTGACCTGAGCTAGTGAGAGATCACTGACTCAGGTCTGACAAATGGGGAATCTGTATAAGACCAAACTAGACTCCCTTAATAGAGGTGACAATGGTGTGACTGGGACAATATATGAGGCCACTGGCAGTGGGTCCAAGACCTAACACTAATGCACGAAAACTGACTTAGTGGAGCCCATTCTATATGGAGAGATACCATGCCCAGCCTAGACACAGGGGTGTGGGGGTGGAGAGGTGACTTGGTCCTGCCTCAATGAGATGATGGGACAGACTAAGTAGACTTCCTATGGGAGACCTTACCCTCTCTGTGGAGCAGGTGGGAGGAGTGGGAGGAGAGGAGGGAGGAGGAACAAGGATTGGAATGTAAAAAATAAATTAATAAAAAAAAAAAGAAAAGCCCAAGAGAGACCCTTTCTTTCCAGCTCCTGTCAAGGATGAAAAACAACACACCCCTGACCTGGCCTGCAGGTGAGATGCTTCTAGCAGAGACAAAGCCCCATTAAGGGGTGGGAATTAGGTCTAAGGAAGCCCCATAGTCCTTTTACTGTTCTGCTGCTAGAATGGGGCTCAGTAGGAGAGTGATTATCTTGAATGTATAAGGTTCTGGATTTGACCCCCAACATCACAGAAAAGGAAGTTAACTATTTTTGGGGGGGGGAGGTATTATAGTTGTCATTTTGCTTTGTTTTGTTTTGGTGGTTTTTAAGACAGGGTTTCCCTGTGCAGACCTGACTGTCCTAAAACTTACTATGTAGACCAGGCTGGCCTCAAACTCAGGGATCCACCTGTCTCTGCCTCCTGAGTACAGGAATTAAAGGCAAGGTGCGCCACCATGCCTTGCTAGAAAGTTAACTTACAATCCTACCACTTGGGAGGTAGAGGCAAAAGAATAGAGAATTCAATGCCATCTTTGGCTATATAGGATGTTTGGGGCCAACCTGGGGTACATGAGACCCTGTCTCCAATTTAAAAGAAAAAAATTAAAGGAAAGAGAAATAAAGGAAGGGAGGGAGGGAGGGAAGGAGGGAAGGTGGGAGGGAGCAGGGGAGGGAGGGGAAAAGAGATGGAGAGAAGGTGGACTGAGATGTGGCCTGACAGGGCTTCTGTGTGCAGCCAGCCTTCCTGTGACTCCCAGCGCTGCACCCCAATCATCCCATCGGGCAGCTAAAATGGCCTCCAAGAAAAGGGCAGAAAAGCAGTGTGTCTAAAGCACAGGCCCACATGCTCTCACATGGAGCTTCACTGAAGTCTCATATCAGTAACAGGCAGCTGACCCCCAGAGAGGGGTGAATGATACCATCCCAGAACAACACAGAGCTGTGAGGGGAACCCAGGCCCCTCCACAGCAAGCCCCAGGGCACATAAGTACCAAGAGATGAGGGGAGGGAGAGAGAACTGGGACTGACATGTAAAACAATCTTGTTTCTAATTTAAATTTTAAAAATGGAGGGAAAAAAATGTGTGCCCAAGACACTGTGGAGGGGAGACCCTAGCACTACACACCTCTGTTCCACAGGAAAAAAAAAAAAATGTCATATTGTAACTGCTTCCTTTCAGCTCTCAAACAAATCTTTCTGAGACTCAGAATTTCCTCCAAAATTTGTGCATAGTGGAGGACCTATAGGACCTGATTCATGCTGGTACTGCAATGCATGGCCTGGATATCCCGAGGCAGGGAAGGGTGCTGACTGAAGCCACAAGGGAGTGAGCAGAGACGGTGGGAGGAGAGAGACCATCTCAGTTCCTGAAGAGCCAGCAGCAGACCCAGAGGAGGGAGTCAGCCCACATCTGTGAGCAGGAAATGACCAGGTCTGGCTGCTTTCCATCCTGTACTAGAAATCAACAGGGTCCCACCTGTCCACAGCTCTATCACATAATAGGCTTGGAGCACAGCAGCTACAGGACAACACTGCCCTCAGTTCTGTAAGCTACTGTCACTTCTGGGAGCTAAGGTCAAGCCTAAGTAGGTCATGAGCCATGAAAATAGGGATGGGGTAGGGTTTGGGAGGGATATGGAGAGAAATGGAGATGGAAATGGGAGAAGAGCTAGATATTTTCATATTTCACTGCATACATGTATAGAATTCTCAAAAACAAAGAACAACTTTTTTTAAGTGAAGTCATGATCCAGAGGGCCAGCAACAGAAGCAAAACAGTGTCCCACACCCTGCCTACTGTCTCACCTGACAATGGGCAGCTTGCAGCAGAACAGTGTCCCACACCCTGCCTACTGTCTCACCTGACAATGGGCAGCTTGGTAAAGGGCACAGGAGGCAGCGTGAGGCCATCTGGAAGGGTGATGGGCTCCATCGTCCCAGGACACTTGGCTGTATAGTTCTCCAGGCTTTGAGTCACATCTTTCTTTTCTGAGGAGAAAACAAAACAGAATGTGGGTTCAATGGACAAAGTAGAAGTGGGTGGCTTTTGCTCAGCTTGATCTGGAGCAATCCAGGTCAGTCCATAAGTAAGGCTTCCATCAGAAGTAAAAGGAAAAGAGACAGTGACAGTTCCATTCCTTGAGATACACCAGCAGCTGCCACCCAAAAGGTCCTATGGATATGGGAGGAGCTGAGCTATGACCCTCCAGGATGAGACCAGCACCAGGGAATTACAACCTGACCAACGGCCATAAAGCCAACAGGAAGGACCAAAGCTCTTTGCGTTTTTGAACAGTATTTCTCAGCAATTACTAAGCAACAAGCATCACATAGAGACCAGTCCCTACAAAGCCTATGCTACAGTTTGTCCGTTTGACAGACAAGGAAGCAAACAGCCACAAAGTCTCTGAAGCTGCTAGTGAATTTTGCAAGGTAAAGCTTTTTACTGCAACCACCACTACTACACACACACACACACACACACACACACACACACACACACACCTTATCACTGGGGAAGGAAAAGAGGACACAGGTGATGGTGATGATGTTTGGATATTAGCCACAAAAGGCTCTCCAACAGCACAGATGGTTCCTTCCCAATACTACACATGAAGTCTGGCGAGAGGAGAAAGCAGCTTGCCAAAGGCACTGCATTTGACCCTGTACCCGTGGTGTCCTCACTACAGTGCTTTAAAGGCTTAAGAGAAGGGGAGAGGGCAAGGGATCGCATGCCTTCTAGAAAGTTTTTTCTCTTAAAAACACCATAGAAAGTCAGTCAGAAGGGATGCCAATGAAAATGGGGTTCAAGTCAAAAACTCATCCTTTCCCAGGAACTGTGAAACTCTGTCAGGAAGCAGAGCCTAGCTGTCCTAAAGTAAAAGCAGTGACTCCTTTTTTACAAAAGTATGCAAACTCCCTGAGGACAAGGTTGATGGGGGAAGTCCTTCTGTGTATATGTTTGTCTTATTGGTTGAGAAATAGAGCACTGTTGGCCAATAGGGAAGCAAATTAGGTGGGGCTAGGAGTCAAGGAGGATTCTGGGAAATGTAGTAAAGAGGAGAGTCGCCATGTGATCCTGGGGAAGAGAGGATGCATGCCACTGGAGTCCTCAATAAGACAAGTCTTTATAAAATATAGACTAATGGTTATGGTTGATACTTAAGATAGAGCTAGCAAATAAGAAATTTAGTCGTTGGCCAGTAGCATTGTAACTAACATTAATCTCTGTGTGTTATTTGGGAGCCCTAATGTGGTGGCTGGCATAAAGAGTTATTGTTATACAAGGTGACACAATACAGGGCAACAACCTGCAGATACTAGCACTGTGTACACCTTCAACACCACTCTTCTGTAGCTGCACTTGGAGAAACACAAAATGACAGGCAGAGATTGTACCATCAGGCTGGGGTCCATGAGTCCTAAAGTCCAGGCCTGATTGGACTCCCTGTTAGAACCCCAGCCAGATGTTCTCTGTGGGAAGAAGACATAACAAGGATCATTTCTGAATTTGCCCCCAAAGTGACAAATGTCTCTAGGCGGCACAGTGTTTAAGAGCACTAAGTTTGGTTCCCAGCAGCCATGGCAAGTGGCTCACAACTACCTGTAACTCTGCCTCCAGAAGATCCAATGCCCTCTTTTGGACTCCACTGATACCCACATACATGTGGCACACACAGAGTCAGGAACAAAACTAAGTTTTAAAAAGTAAAAAATTCTTTAAATGATCAAATAACCTACAACTTACAGTCCTCCAAAGGGCTCAAGGACACCTAGTAGATCACCTCATGTGTCCCAAGTTGGGAGCAAAGCCTGGCTTAGGAACTCAGTACCAACCAGCCCTGTGCCACTCTGGGAAGGTGCTACTCGGGTGGAGAAGGAAGAGTCTTCCTTTGATGCCCAACATGGCCCAGCACATGACAGCACAAATGTGCACTGCCAATGGCCCTTCACCTAGTGAACTAGGGTGTGTCACTCACTGAGCCTTTCCATCAGGGTTCCTGCTGCTTGCTTCAGATCAGCATTTTCCTGGGGTGGGAGCTTCCTATGGGGGGACCTCAATATCCATGGGTGCCCCTGGCTATAGCTGAGCATAGCTACTATTCAGGGCGTGGTGACATCCTGTCATATACACTTCACTTTTTAGTCACTGCTGTGCTGTGGCTCCCAGAACTCATAGGTGGGAAACCATGGGATGGTTTTTGGGAAACCATCCAAAAAACAACGATGTCAGAAATTGAAGCCTTTAGGGAGGTATAAGGTCTTGAGGACATGGGGAAGGGAGATAGCCCTCTCAAGTCCCAAAATGGAACCAACAGGTGAGGCCTAACCATAGGTACCCCATGAGGCTACAACATGGAAAGGAAAGCTCAAAAACGTTAGTGGCTCCTGGCATCTGCCACATGGGCCAAGCTTCAGGAAATCATGATAAATCCTAACTCACAGCCCATAATGTCTTAATTTATCTTACTCAAAAAATCAATATATCTCATCTTGTTTTGATCAGGAGTTTCAACAATGATGCCACTCAAATTAAGAGCACCTAATGCCATTGAGAGCTATTTTTCCACCCCAGAAATTAAAGAATTCATACAAACAAAAGAACATTTTTAATGAAAATAGCTGTTACCTAATTATGTAATCTATAATATTTCTTAATAAAAGGAGAATTACCACCAAAATCTTAATTGGTAAACAGTTCTCAGGCCACAGGGCATTGCCATAGTTGATGCTGGCATGAAGACCAGTGCATCATGGTTTCACAGCTCATTCTTGTTATTTCTAAGTAATATCCTGAGACAGACATATCTGCATTAGGTCAGCTATGGAATCTAAGCAATGAGAGGAAGAAAGACATACATATTTTCCCCAAGTCTAAGTGGGGGGAAAAAACCTAAGGAAAAAGAAACAGTACCAATACATCTGACACACTCTGAAATCCCATATTTGAGTCAAGTTCAGAGGGACATGGCTGGTGCTTCAACACGGTGACATGGTAAGGGTATAGAGAAGAGTGAACCCCACCGCATTGCAGATGGGCATCCATCGGGCATGGTACCACAGCAAACAACATGATACGTCTTAAAGAAACCACAGTCACATCCACATGACATCCTTACCTATACAGACAACCGTCAGGGATGAAATCAATACCTCTCCAGGACCCACCCCTTGCTCACAGTGCTTAGGATATAAAAACAACCTAAAGATAAAAACACAGAGAATGAGGTATTTATAAAAAGTACACTGAGGAGGGATTGTGAAGGTGCTAGCATCCATGTAAGGTGGCTCTCACCACCTACAACTCCAAGTTCAGAGAATCCAATGCCCTCTTCTGGCTTTTACATAGGTCCTGCACACCTATGACATACACTCATACAGACGCACACATAAATAAAAATAAAATCTTAAAAAAAAAAAAACAAGAATGGCAGAGTACACCTGTAATTCTGGTACTCAGGAGATGGTGATGGGAGGGTCCCTGGGGTTAAGCAGCCAACCAATCAGGCAGCTCCAGACTCAGTGAGATTTCTTACCCCAAAATAAGTAAGGTGGAAAACAGCATCAGCCTCTAGCCTCTGCATGCACTCGAGCATGTGAGCATGCACACACATGTATACACACACACACACACACACACACACACACACGCACACGCACACACACACACACGCACACGCACACACACACACACATTACCAAATAAATAGGCAAATAAATGAATAATAAAGCACACTGGAATATTATTTGGCTTTAAAAAGTACATCCTGCCATTTGCCAAAATATGGATGGACCTGGATGTTGTGCTGAGTGAAGTAAGACAGAAACACAAAGAAAATGATACATAATCAAAGGAAAAAGAATGACTCGGTGGTTCTGTCTTGGGGGAGGGAGGGTATGAAGGTCCAAGGATGCAAAGACAAGCATAATAAAGAGTCTGGAGAGCCAGGGTACCCATGAGGAGTGAATTAAAATGGTGTATTAGGGATTATCATTAGGCATGTTTTAACTGTTCTATCTCAAGAAAAGTCAGTATGTAAATTGGCAGATATATTCATCTTCTTGAATATTGTAACCATTTTACTGCCTATAGCATCCCTTATAACCTGTTGTAAGCCTCAAATATACACAATAAAAAATAAAAGAGGAAGTTTTGTAATTCCCCTAAAGTTGGCAGTTTAACATCCCTTTGTTAAAATAATGCAAATCAATAAGAATAGAAGAGGTTGATGAAGCTGCAACCCTATTGTGTAAATTGATATCTATGGACCACTAGAGTCATCACTGGAGAATCTAGATGCTTCTTAGCACTTTGGGGCAATTTACTGAGACACATACTGAGACACCATACATACTGCCATAAACAAGTCTCAGTAAATTTTAAAAGACTGAAATCATACAGAGAGCATTCTCTAATGATAACAATATTAAAATAGTAATCTATAACATCAGAGTTTAAAGTCCATAAGTGCCCAAAGTTAAGCAGAATTCCTGTGCACACCCAGAAGACACACAAACATTCCAGAATGCACATACATATACACAAGACACACATATTCCCATGGGCATTCAAACACATTCACAAGACACACCCCCATAGACACATACACAGACAAGAAACACACAAGGCACACACATGACAAACACACTCCTATGGGCACATACATAAACATACACACCCATAAGACACACACATCCACCTCCAGATGAAACAAGTGACATTCTTAAAAATCCTCTTAACTGAATATAAATAGAAACACACTGTGGTGGTTTTAATGAGAATGGTCCCCTTAGGCTCATATACTTGAATGCTTGATCCTCAATTACTGGGACTGTTTAGGAAGGATTAGGAGGTAAGTCCTCTTAGAGTAGGTGTGGCCTTGTTGGAAGAGGTGTATTGCTAGGGATGGGCTTTCAGGTTCCAAAGCCCATGCCATGCCCCCTCTCTCTCTCTCTCTTTCTCTCTCTCTCTCTCTCTCTCTCTCTCT